GTGGTGCGCTCTGCGGGCTTTAAAGTGCCGCGGAACCCTGACAGGTGAGGTCGGCACCGAGACCCGCAGGCCAACCGCCAGGACGCCCCGAAGGGGTGGACGGCGCGGGCCGCGGAGCCATGGATTGCACGTTCGAAGGTATTTTGTGGAGGACTCCCCACCCCTTCTTTACATCTCCGGTGCGAGGTCACTTTTTCTCCGGTTCCGTAGGGAGGTGCGTGTGTGTGAGTTGTGGTGGTGGATCTCAGAATAGGAAAACGCCTTTTCCTGAGGGGCAGGTGTAACAGTTTCTAGCTTTCAGGACGGGTGGTGGACCACCCCCCAACCTCGTTAGTTAACCCCACTCCAACGTTTGGAGTGAAGTGGTGGCTTTCCCACATTCTCTGCTCCCCATCTGGGGCAGAGGGGGAAAAAAAAGCAGAGAGGAAGACCAGTTGTCACGGGTGGCTCCCCGTTTTGAGGGGCACTTTTGGGCTCTGGATTGTCCAAATTCTGGATCCCAGCCTTGGATTCAATCAGTTTTCTTTTGGGGCCTCAGTTTCCCCATCTATCAAAAAGGCTTAATGAGGACTGGGGTGAGGGATGAGAAATCATGCAAGCGAAAGTGCTTTATGACCTGCATAAACCTGGGAGGCCCACACAGTTGTTTCTATTTGAGGATCCAGGAGGCTGAGCCTGGAACCCCATCTTGCTTGGTTGGAGGCCATAGGGAGGTCTCCTCCTGCAGTAACTTTCCTGCTTGCACACCTATCAGTAGGAAGGAGTTGGCATTCTGTGCCAGTTGCCTGCCGGGCAAAGCCTTGCTGCAGCCCCAAAAAGTTTTTAGGTTTAATCTTTTTGGTTAAAAAGGTGGGGAAACTGAGACCCAGTGAGATGGGACTGTTGGCTCAGGACCCACCTCAAGTCAGTGTGGACAGGACCGGAAGCTCAGACTGGGGAATGTAGGGGCACTTGGAATTCATGGGTTCTGCAGAGCACTTTGACCCAGTGGGTAGCTGCCCTCAGTGCGTTAGAGGGCCCCAGGCTGACCCAACCAGGCTACTAGTTGCCAGCTCGGGGAAAGGGGCTATGGCCTAACCTTGGCTGTGACAGGGAATATATCCCAGTCTATATGAAGAGGAAGGAGTCAGGACAGACAACATTTACTTTTATAGAGGGGAAACCAAAGCCCTGAATGGCCGGGTCCCGAGGCTGCTTGGCTGCAGAATCTGGGCTTGTGCCCCGAACATGCAGAGACACAGTAGTTGGCACACACGTGGCCAGCAGCTGGCTCAGCCCAAGCCTTGGTCTGTTCCACAGATAAATGGGTTGCTGATGGCAGCTCTGAAGTCAGCAGTCTTAGGCCTAAGCCCCAGTTCTGCTTCAGCTTAGATGTGGGGCAAGTTAATGGGTCTCATGGGGTCTTGGCCCTGCATGGCACTGACCTTGTCTAGTTGTTGCAAGGGCTATCTGATAACATATGAAGAACTAAGCATTGCTTCAGATGTCACAGGTGCCCTGTGTATCTAGGAGCACGGGCTCACATGGGTGATATTGCTTGCATGTGTACAGTAGTGTGGACAAGGGGTGTGCAAATGTGTGATGCCCTATATAGGGTCAACCCCTGCCCCACTGTCGCTCACACAGCCTCTTCTTTCTCCAGATATGCTTCAGCTCATCAACAACCAAGACAGCGACTTCCCAGGCCTGTTTGACCCACCCTATGCTGGGGGCGGAGTAGGGGGCACAGACTCCACCGGCTCCGGCACTGAAGCCAGCTCCCCAGGCAGCTTGTCCCCACCTCATGTCATGATGAGCTCCCCACTCGAAGGCTTCCTGGGGGGGCCCAAAGCAACACCCCCACCCTTGTCCCCTTCCCAGCCTGCACCTACACTGAAGATGTACCCTTCTGTGCCTGCCTTCTCCCCTGGGCCTGGTATCAAGGAAGAGCCAGTGCCACTGACCATCCTCCAGCCCTCTACCCCGCAGCCCCTGCTGGGGGCCCTCCTGCCCCAGAACTTTCCGGCCCCAACTCCACCACAGTTCAGCTCTACCCCTGTGTTGGGCTATCCCAGCCCACCTGGAGGCTTTTCCACAGGTAAGGGGATGTGTGGAGGGAGGGGCACAGCAGGAGCACAGGGAGATGGCTCTGCTGTGGTCTCAGTAGAGGAATTTGCAGGCTTTAGAAATCAGGTCTTCTCTCTGCTGCTTGAGATACCTCCATTACTAGCAGCACTTGCATTCTCTTTGTTGGGTTAAGCATTGCCACTCACTCTGCAGGAGTATCCATATCATTGCTGCCCTTCCAAAGATACATGCCTGGCTAGAAAGCTAGCACTTTTGCATCAGAGCCCCAGGCAGGGGCTGTCCAGATAGGAAACTAAGGCCATAAGAGGTAATGACTCATCCAAGGTCACACAGTGATGGGGACCTGAGGGGCAGGTTGAAAGTGGGTTAGAGAAGCTTGTGCCTGAAGCCTCAGCCTTTATCTCTGCAGGGACCCCTCCAGGAAGCACCCCACAGCCGCTGCCTGGCCTGCCAGGGGTCCCGCCCGTCTCCTTGCAAACCCAGGTCCAGAGTACCGCCCCCCAGCAGGTGTTCACAGCCACAGCCAGCCCCACAGTGGGCCCTGGAACAACCACTGTGACCTCACAGATTCAGCAGGTCCCGGTAAGGGGGTTTGGCCAGGCGTCGATGAGGTGACAGCGACTGAACCAGACACACAATTTATAGCTAAGACCTCCCCTACTCCCAGGTTCTGCTGCAGCCCCACTTTATCAAGGCCGACTCACTGCTCCTGACAACCATGAAAACAGACTTGGGAGCCCCTGTGAAGGCAGCAGGTGTCAGCTCCCTGGCCCCTGGCACGGCTGTGCAGACAGGGCCCTTGCAGGTGGGTGGCATGGGCAGGGGGGAAGTATGGAATCTGCACATATACATGCCCACCTGGTAACCTGTGCCTGGCTCTGCAGACTCTGGTGAGTGGCGGAACCATCCTGGCGACAGTGCCGCTGGTAGTGGACACTGACAAGCTGCCCATCAACCGGCTGGTGGCCAGTGGCAAGGCCCTGGGCTCTGCCCAGACGCGTGGTGAGAAGCGTACAGCCCACAACGCCATTGAGAAGCGCTACCGCTCCTCCATCAATGACAAGATTGTCGAGCTCAAGGACCTGGTGGTGGGCACTGAGGCAAAGGTGTGGATAAAGGCCTGTACAGGCACAGATTGGGATGACCCTGGAGAAGGAGGCAACTGGAAGGAAGAGAAGGATTGGGACTGGGCCTGGACAGACAAGACCTTGGACTTCAGCCTACTCAGGCCTGGCCACTTTCATTTATGTAGCTAAACTTTGTGAAGGACCCCCTTTGCACCAGGGGCTATTCTAGGCACGGCATACAGCAGTGAGCAGACAGACAAAAATCCTGCTGTTAAGGAAATGTTCTAGCTGGGTTGATAATAAACAAGATAAGTAAGGGTTAGAGTATACCAAATGATAAGTGCTCTGGAGGAAAATAAAGCAGGAAGAGAGTTGCAAATCTGAACCAGGTGGTTGGGGAGGCCTCACGAAAGTGATATGATATAAAGCAAAGACCTAAAGGAGGTAAGTGAGGCATATCGATGGAAATAGTAATAATAGCAGTTAGCCAGATACTGTTGTATGTATTTTACATATTAATCCTTACACCCATACTGAGAGGAAGGTTGTACTAAGGGAGGAACATTCCATGTAGAAGGAACAGCAAGGGCAAAGGTCCTGAGGCAGCTGTGTTGCAAAGCAGCCCCACCCCCCCTTGCTTAGGTGCCCACTTGCCAGGCCTGACTGGCCACCTGTGCTGTCTTCCTCCTACCCGCTGCAGCTGAATAAATCTGCTGTCTTGCGCAAGGCCATCGACTATATTCACTTTCTACAACAGAGCAACCAGAAACTCAAGCAGGAGAACTTGAGTCTGCGAACTGCTGCCCACAAAAACAGTGAGTCCTGGCCTTCCATCACCCTTGGTTCTGGCCCTGCCCCTGTCTCTGACTCGACAGGAGTCCTTAGCCTCTCCTTTGGCCCTAAACCGGCCCTCAGAAGCTAGGCCAACTCTAAGTTTCCTTCCCAGGGCCCTGAGTTGATTTTGGTAGGGTGGAGTCTCTAGCCTTCACCCCCAGCCCTGCTCCTTTCCCGCTTACAGAATCTCTGAAGGACCTGGTGTCAGCTTGTGGCAGTGGAGGAAATTCGGGTGTGCCCATGGAGGGCACAAATCCTGAGGTGGTGGATACGCTGAGCCCGCCACCCTCGGACGCAGGCTCGCCCTCCCAGAGCAGCCCCTTGTCCCTTGGCAGCAGGAGTAGTGGCAGTGGTGGCAGTGGCAGTGATTCAGAGCCTGACAGCCCAGTCTTCAAGGATAGCCAGGTTGGGCCCTGCAATGTGGTCCCTTTCTGTCTCCCAGTGATACCCTCTGAGCCCCAGGATTGGGTCAGGAAGAAGCCCCTAACATATCCCACCTCCAATTTTATAGACAAAACCTAAGGCCTAGAGCCGTGTGGGGTCCCACAGTGAGGCTGGGCAGAGTGCTGATCCCTCCTTTCCAGAGCCATGCTCTCTGGGCCACTCCCGCTCTGTCCTTACTGCCCTGCTGCCCCCACCAGGTAAAGCCAGAGCAGCTGCCATCCTCCCACAGCCGGGGCATGCTGGACCGCTCCCGCCTGGCCCTGTGTACACTCATCTTCTTCTGTCTCTCCTGCAATCCTTTTGCCTCCCTGCTGGGCAGCTGGGGTCTCCCCAGCCCCTCAGATACCACCAGCATCCACCAGAGTTCTGGGCGCAACATGCTGAGCACTGAGGACAGAGGTAGGACAAGACAGCATCGATATCTATGGGAGAGAGGTGGGAAGGGGGACTCTTGGGAGTGTAGACCCTAGGCCTATGGGCTCCGATGCTGCATTTCCTGGGAGATGTGTCCTCAGCCCTCCTGTCTGCCCCTAGATGGCCCTGGTTGGGCCCCATGGCTGCTGTTCCCACTGGTCTGGCTGACTAATGGGCTGCTCGTACTGATCTCCTTGGTGCTTCTCTTTGTCTATGGAGAGCCAGTCACTCGGCCCCACTCAGGCCCCGCCGTGCACTTCTGGAGGCATCGCAAGCAGGCTGACTTGGACTTGGCCCGGGTAAGGAGCTGGACCCTGAGGGTCAGGTGAACGGTGGGCAGGGAGGGACCTGGGTAGCACTTGGGAAGGTGCTGGGTGTCATCTACTCTCCCTGCCCTCTGGGTACACCATGAATATACCCTGCCTTCCCCACTCTTGTCTGCCCCTCAGACCCACACTGACTGTTGGGGGCCCAGCCTAGCACTACTAGGGGACATTGGAGTTATGGCAGAGAGCTCAAGGTGAAGGGATCTTCAGAGCTAGAGGGATATCATGCACTTAGGATGCTCTGACCCCACTTCACCCTGAAAACCCTCATCCTCAGGGGGACTTTGCCCAGGCTACCCAGCAGCTGTGGCTGGCCCTGCGAGCTCTGGGCCGGCCCTTGCCCACCTCCCACCTGGACCTGGCCTGTAGTCTCCTCTGGAACCTCATCCGCCACCTGCTGCAACGTCTCTGGGTGGGCCGTTGGCTGGCAGGCCATGCAGGGGGCCTGCAAAGGGACTGTGCTCTGCAGGCAGATGCCCGTACCAGTGCCCGAGATGCGGCCCTTGTCTACCACAAGCTGCATCAGCTTCACACCATGGGTATGATGGGCAAAGAGCTGGGCCCAAGGGGCTCCTACCACCTCTGCACGCCCTCTGGCCTCATGCCCTGTTCATTTTCCAGGAAAGTACACAGGGGGACACCTCACTGCTGCCAATTTGGCCCTGAGTGCACTGAACCTGGCAGAGTGTGCAGGGGACACCATGTCTGTGGCCACGTTGGCTGAGATCTATGTGGTTGCCGCACTGAGGGTCAAGACCAGTCTCCCGCGGGCCTTGCATTTTCTGACAGTGAGTGGTTGGTGGGTTGGCAGGGACAGGACTAGGGGCTTGTTTTTAGTCTTTACAGTTCTGACCATGGCTTCCTGGGGAAGGGGCTGCACAGAATGAGGCATTTGATCACAGGGTGGGCTCCAGGCCTAGCTGGGGTCTCAACCCACGGTCTGGGTTTGAGCCCCTGTTCGGGTCCTTTATGACAGCCCAGCTTCCCACTCCCACAGCGCTTCTTCCTGAGTAGTGCCCGCCAGGCCTGCCTGGCACAGAATGGCTCAGTGCCACTTGCTATGCAGTGGCTCTGTCACCCTGTGGGCCACCGTTTCTTCGTGGATGGGGACTGGGCCGTGTGCAGTCCCCCGAGGGAGAGCCTGTACAGCTCAGCCAGGAACCCAGGTGCTCTTTCATCCCCATGCCCATCCCCTTTCCCCAGTCCTTACCCTCATCCTCTGTCCCCCATTCCTCATCCCTGCCCTGTCCCTTGTCCCTACGTCTCTAGATGTCCCTGCCCACCTGTTTGTTGCTTGGCTATCTGTTGTTGCTTTGGGATCTGGATCTCTCTTATTGGGGGTCTTCTGAAGCAAATAGGATATGGGGGCAGGTGGTTGATTTGGGAGGTGATCCCAGGCAACACTACTGTGTAGTGAGGAAGATAGACAGGGAAGGGACAGAGCTGATAAGGGTATGTTATAGAGTAGATTACACTGTCCGAGAGAGGTTATCCTATCCAAAGGCAGCGGCAGGGGTATTTATCCACCAACTTTTATCTGTCCCAGAGCCAAGCCTATCTGTGTGCCCGGGAAATAACTCTTGGTGTGGAGAGGGGAATATGGAGAGTGGGGGCCCTTTCCTGCCACCCTACTTACTCACTCCTCCCCACAGTGGACCCTTTGGCCCAGGTGACTCAGCTATTCCGTGAACATCTCTTGGAACGAGCTCTGAATTGTGTGGCTCAGCCCAGCCTCAGCCCTGCATCAGCTGATGGGGACAGGTGAGTGTCCTCATGCCCCTAAGGCAAGAGCCCTCCACTGTGGGTCTAGGAATGGCTGTTCAGGGACTTGTGTAGGTACCCAGAGCCAGGTAACTGTCCACTTGCTGTGTGGCCCCAGATAGATCTCCCCTCCTCTCTGGGTCTCAGTTTACCTACCAGCCTGGCAGGATGAGACAGTAGCATTTTATAGAGCCCAGAAGTCAGGCCATGCTCTGGTGGAGAGGTGAGGAGGGCCAGTGCCCTCCCTGGACTCATAGGACCCCCGCCACCTATTCTAACAGCCAGTTTCTCTTGCCACAGGGAATTCTCAGATGCCCTCGGATACCTGCAGCTGCTGAACAGCTGTTCCGATACTGCTGGAGCTCCAGCCTGCAGCTTCTCCATCCACTCCAGCATGGCCACCACCACCAGTGAGCTCCCAGGCCCCCTGCCCTGTGATTCTCCACTTAGCCCCACCTCCATAGCAGCTCAGTCTCAGGTGTAGTGTGGTTGAGTTTCAGGGAGCACACCCCTCTGTATCCCCACTCCCTGTAGGCACAGACCCAGTGGCCAAGTGGTGGGCTTCGCTGACGGCTGTGGTGACCCACTGGCTGCGGCAGGATGAGGAAGCAGCTGAGCGACTGTACCCACTGGTGGAGCACCTGCCTGTCACCCTGCAGGAGTCTGAGTGAGTGCAGGCCAGATGCTCCCGGCCCCCAGCAGCACACTGCACTCCCACCTTTGTTCTGTGCAGTTGAGATCATCACTCTTTCTTCCTCATGAAGCTGGAACCAGGGTTCAGTGAGGACCTGTGGCTTGGTCTGACCATCACTCTTCTGCCCTGATCCCAACAGGAGACCCCTGCCCAGGGCAGCTCTGCATTCCTTCAAGGCTGCCAGGGCCCTGCTTGGCCGTGGGAAGGCAGAGTCTGGCCCAGCCAGCCTGGCCATCTGTGAGAAGGCCAGTGGGTACCTGCAGGACAGTCTGGCCACCACACCAGCTGGAAGCTCCATTGACAAGGTGAGGGTTGGGGCCAGGGGCCTGGCAGGTTCGCACGGTCATGGCCTTTCCACTCCCATGTCGGTCCCCTCCTTGAGCTGCAGAAGACTGGGGTTAACCCAACAGCACAAGACTGAGGGTTCAGCCAGCCTTGCTTTCTGGCTAAGGTATAGGTCCATGGGAGAGTGGTTGCCCGATATGGCCTCAGATGTCTTCTTGGAGGCTGCTTCCATGGCAAATGGTGGGCATGGGGGCCTAGAGAGGCGGACGGCCCCGCGGTGCATTGCTGTTGCATTGCATGTGTGTGAGGCGGGTGCAGTGCCTCGGCAGTGCAGCCCGGAGCCGGCCCCTGGCACCGTGGGCCTCCACCCTTCCCTTCCTAGAACTGGATCCCCCCCATGACCCCTGCCTACCACCTCCAGGCTATGCAGCTGCTCCTGTGTGACCTGCTTCTTGTGGTGCGTACCAGCCTGTGGCGGCGACAGCAGCCACCTGCACCAGCCCCGGCCTCACAGGGCCCAGGCAATGGAGCCCAGGCCTCTGCCCTTGAGCTGCATGGCTTTCAACGGGACCTGAGTGGCCTGAGGCGTCTGGCGCAGAGCTTCCGGCCTGCCATGCGGAGGGTGAGTGCCCATGGGCTCCTCACCTCACAGTGGGGACATGAGGCAGCTGGTGTGGGGAGAGAGTGGGGCCCTGGCCTGAGCCCCTGCTCTCCTGGCCCCCTCCTGCCCAGGTGTTCCTACATGAGGCCACAGCCCGGCTGATGGCAGGGGCCAGTCCCACACGGACACACCAACTCCTGGACCGCAGTCTGAGGAGGAGGGCAGGCCCCTGTGCCAAAGGAGGTGAGAGGGGCAGTAGCACTTGTAGGGGTGTATAGGGGCATTCCTTGGTCCAGCTTGATCTTCCCCCACCCAGGTAAGAACTTCTCAGATAGGTGTGATGGATGTTGAGGGCCACTGTGTAACAATAGATGGGAGAACTGGTGATAATCTACTTGAGAAATCCAATCAGGCGACTGTCATTTGTGGGCTACCTAGTTGTCATTTGTGGGCTACCTAGTTGTCATTTGTGGGATTCCCAACTGTGCACATGTCTCTGAGTCTGTGTTCTGTGCCTGGCCCTGGGAGGGGCCTCAGACGCCACGTTTGTGCCTAAGACTGAGGTGGGGATAGTGGAGGTGGGGCCACTGGGGGATCCTGCGGCCTGGCCTGGCCGGGTCCTGAGCTTCATTTCATCCAGTGTGGTCCAGCCTCCTGACCTGGCCCGTATGCACAGGCACCTGCGCCGGGGTGGAGCTGGAGCCGAGGCCCACAGGGAGGGAGCATGCCGAGGCCCTGCTGCTGGCATCCTGCTACCTGCCACCCTGCTTCCTGTCGGCTCCTGGGCAGCGCGTGGGAATGCTGACTGAGGCGGAGCGTATGCTCGAGAAGCTTGGTGATCGCAGGCTGTTGCACGACTGCCAGCAGATGCTCCTGCGCCTGGGCGGAGGGACTACGGTCACTTCCAGCTAGACCCCCACTGGCGGCCTCTGCGCCCTTTGGCTATGTCCCTGGTGGGAGCCTCAATGGCCAAAGGCAGCGCAAGAGATCTCAATGTCCACGGTTTACCCATGGACTGCATTGCCTCGGTGGGGGCGGGAGGAATGGGAGACCCTTGGGGGCTTTTGTCTCTGGACTTAGGAGGCCAGAGGGGGTGTAACCCCGCCACCCCTGCAGGCTCCCCAACCAGACTAGCAGCGGCCAGGTTGGTGCTGACCTCTGGTGGCCGGTGGGAGGATTGCAGAGGCCGGTCCCATCGGTGTCACCTCTGCTTTGCAACCAACCAGTGGCTTTTCCCTCTCCTGGCTAAAGGGAGAGAGGGGTACATGTTACTCAGCTGAGGGGGATAGAAATGGTTTTCCCGGCCAGCAAGGGTGCCTAGCTCCAAGATGCCTCCTTCCCTTCTGGGGAGGTCTGTACATAGTGTAGATCAGGGTGCACCTGACTTCTGGCCTCTGGGGCTCAAGTGTTACTTTGTCTTTTGCAAACTATTTTCATAGGGTGAGAAGTTTTGTACAAAGAATAAAAAATGGAATTATTTATAATCTGCGTTCTCTTTTTTTGAGGAGGAGGGTGTGTGCTTCAGCTGATGTCCTTGCCAACTACAGGGGGTCCTTTGGGCCTTCCCTGGCAGCACCTAGGCAAAGTCTTCCCACAGCCATCCTCCATAAGGGACTAGATTTCCCGCTTCTGATGTTATGGGAGGCCTGTGGGTTATGACCTCCGGCTGACCTGGATCCCACTCTGGGCCACAAGTTTGGGCCCTTAATCCTTAAATCCATTATAGTCTCAGCCATCCCCTCCCACCTCCCAGCTTCTACCTCCACCAGCTCCCTGGGCGACATGGTGCACAACTCAAGTGTCCTTAAGGATTTGTTGACAAGAGGAGCTACAACATGGTATCCCTGTATGGAGTGTCAGTCGCATCCATCTATCTCACACTTAAGAAAGCCTTCCACCCTTGTCAGGACCTGAGGCTGCATGGGGTGGGGGTCGATTTTGGATCAGGGGCTTGTTTCCTGTTCCCACAGAAACTGCCAGAATCCCTGACTCCCCATTTGTGCCCCCTGCCCTCCATTTCCATCCCCCACTTGAAGCCTAGCCCCTCTCCCAGCGGAATCTGGTCAGAATCCACGGGCTGCAGACTTCCAAAACAATCGCTGTATCTTTATTGACTTTTTTTCTCTGAATGCAATGACTGTTTTTTACTCTTAAGGAAAATAAACATCTTTTAGAAACAGCTCAATACACACAATCTTCAGTGTGAAGCAATATACTAATAAGAACACTAGTCTTAACATTTACAGTCTTCATATATATTATATATATGTATATGTATACATATATATACACTATATAACGAGGCCAGATATAATACACACGTTTACCATTTTACAGTCATATGTACAGGAAGTTGCTAGGGTTCCCCGGTCTGGGGGCTGCCTCAGGACTACTGAAGCGTGGACAGAGCTGAGGACAAAGACGGACAGGCAGACATACTGGCAGGGACTAGCCTGGGCCGGTGGTGGCTTTTAGGGTAAGGGGAGCATCGTGTGGTCCCCTTCCCAGCTAGGGCCCCGTGCTGAGGGGCGCAGGACGCATGGCAGCGACACACAGAAGCAAGCATGTTCCCAACATATATACATTCTATGTAACATATATAGAGGGGTACACAGGTTTGTACACGAATCTAGCGCTGTCTCTGCTCCCGTGCTGAATAGGTGCTGCGGTCCCTGGATGGGGGTGGTCGTGCAGAGAGGGAAGATCACGCGTCCGCTGGGGGTGCGCTCTGGTTGAGACTTCTTCCCTTTTGCGCTCCCAGACTGGGCTCCAGGGTAGGGGATTGGAAAAGGGATGAACATAAGCCAAAGGGGTGCCCCAGTCCCACCTACACCCAGGGAGTTTCCATCCCCTCACGTTGGGCCCCAGACTCCCTGGCTCTGCCCAAACCCCAAGGTTTTGGCAAATGCTGGGTGAGAAGGGCGCTTGGGTGCCTTCTGAATGGTTTGCTCCAAAGCCTCCGGCCTGCTCCCCCTATCCCCTACTTCCAGACCGCCTAGCCCTCTCTAGAAAGGCTTCAGCTTCACTCGCCTATAGCTCCCTCCCCTCCCTTCAATGAGCCTGGAGCCGCCTTCTGCAACTTCTAGGGCCATTTTGGACCCCCACCCTCAGGGCGCCCAGCTGCATACCACGACCGACTGGAGTGGCTGCAGCACCCAAGTATTATGTGTGCCACCTTGTCTTGGAACTTCCAGTGGAGAAACGTGTCCCCAGGCTAAAGGCGTCTCCCACTCCCGCCGGAAACTGGGTGCCCCAAGGAGTCTGGCTGCTCCGCGGGGTCCCCCTTTCCAAGCCTGGCCTGGGTGAGTGGTGGGGGGAGGGCAGGAACGCCCTGTGTCGTCCGATTCCAGGAGCAGGCGGCTCCTGAACGTGTTTTCTTCCCAACCCGGGACCACACGTTTCAGCCTTAGGCAGCCAGATCCAAGATCCGGGGTCCGGATCAAGGATCGGCTCTAGACCCGCGTTGGGAGCATCTCAAAGGCCCGGGGGCTGCACAGGCGGCCCCTCTCCTTCGGCGGCGGGCGGGCAAGCGGGCTCCGGCGGCTTCTCCAGCCGTTGGGGTGGGTTACAACGGCAGCCTCTGCAGGAGAAGAGTTCACGCCCGACCTCCCGTTATTGATGGTCGTGGACCTGTGCAAGGGGTTAATTCCCCTTAGACCCGCCCCGCCCCGCCCCCAAGAGGCCCCGCCCCTACCCCGG